ATGATCCTTCAGAAATCATTCCAATATGCTGATTTGCTGCTCAAGAAACATTTCTGATTATTATCAATGTTGAAAAACAGTTGTGCCGCTTCATGTGTTTGAGGAAACCATGATTTCCACTGTTCATCTTTAATGAATAGAAAGTTGAAAAGAACTGGAAATCTTTTGTAACATTAATGTCCTTACTGTCTTTGAGTCCTTGCTGAATAAAAGTATGAATTTCTTGAAAAAACTAAATGGTAGTGGTAGCATCAGTAATCAGTATCTGTGTCTGATTTGATCCGCAGGACTCTGATGCCTCTGTTTGATCCAGATTCTGGATTACTAATTGTGTCTGGAAATGTATGTAACTATTTATAAACACACTTTGATATGTTTAATGACTGAAATCATTTATCATCAATGTTAATATCATTATTAATGGTGTTTTCTCAGGGCGAGAGTGTGATCGACTGTTTTGAGGTGAACAGCAGTGAGCCCTTCCTGTCTCAAGGTAACACAGACGCTTTTTCTTGAGGCTCTTGCTCTTTCTTCATATTCATGAAGCTGATCTCTCTGTGTCGTGATCAGTGAGTCACTGTCTGACGGACCTGTCGACCCGTGGCGTGGCTCTGGTGCCGAAGCTCGCTCTGGATGTCAGCTGCTGTGAGGTTTTGCGCCTGCTGCAGCTCACTGATAACTTCATAGTGCCCATCAGCTACCAGGTGCCTCGCAAGGTGAGAATGATCCATCCTGGTCTGCTAAACTGACTGGATAAAAGCTCCTAATGCACTTGGTATATCCTAAACCAATTATGATTGATAAGCTGACAACATATGTAACAGGCATGTGATTTCCTTACTTTCTGACCTGAAGTATGATGCACATGAACTGCATAAATCCACATTTGTAATGAGAACCATTTATACAAATATCAGCAAAATGGAATCTTTAAAGTCTCCTAGTGGTTTTCTGCTGAAATGAAATTTGTATGGTTTAATGTTTGAAAGCAAAGACATTGAGTCAACTACAAAAAGTCACATTTTAGTTTTACTATTGTTCTGTCAAATAAAAAAAAATATTATTATAATTATAATTCAATACTTGTTTTTTTTTTTAGTACACTAGTGTTAATGCAATAGAAATATATTTCTTTAATTTGCTTAATTTTGATCATTTAAATAGCAGTCCAATAAAACAAAAAAACGTGTAAAATAAAACAAATTAAACAGAACAATTATTATCATTAATAAATGTATTATAAAAATGTATTAGTAGTAGTAGTAGTAGTAAATACAAGAAATTGATGCAACTATAAAATGCAATATTTTAATTTTCCTATTGTTTTGTAAAATAAAAAATGTATTATTATAATTATTATTCAATACTTGTTTTTTATTTTTAGTACACTAGTATTAATGCAATATAAATATATTTCTTTAATTTGCTTAATTTTTATCATTTAAATAGTAATCCAATAAAACTAAAAAAGCAGAACAATTATTATAATTTATATTATTAAATGCAATAAACTATAAAAAGCAATATTTTAATTTTCCTAATAAATGTTTTGTTTTTTTTACAGTACAGTACTATTTTGCAACAGTAATATATTTCTTCATTAATATGTTTATTTTTTAGAATTTAAATAGCAATAAAATTAAGTCATTATAATAGTGACTATTATACATTTTTATTTTTATTACAATAGTATCATTGCAGTAGTAATGTATTTGTTTATTAATTTGTTTAATTTAATTATTTAAATAGTAATAACACACAAAACTAATGATAATAATAATAATTATTATTATTATTAAATGTTTTTATTTTACAGTACAATTATTTACAAAATTATTTATAATTATTTACAATAACAAATATTATTAGTATTATTGTATAGTCATATTGAATGAGTGGAAAAAAAAATCCTCCTTTTTTTTCCCCAAAACCAACCAATCTGAAGATGTTTGATGTTTTAGCTCTTGAGTGTTTTGTGTGTATCAGGCAGGACAGGACTTCCATGCGGACTTGTATCCGGACACCGTGGGTCACACCCCGGCCATGACGGCAGAGGACTGGTGGAAAGGAGAGAACAAACAGGTACTGACCAGTCAAAGGTCTGTTTAAAGCAACTCATTTCACTTCTGTGTTATTCATGGGGAAATCACTGGATTGCTTACAAAAAAATTGGTCGGTATGACAGATGATTGGAGGGGAGAGGATGAGAAATAAGAGGGAAAAAGGGAAAGTCATTTCAGATTTATTTAACTCTCTAACACTTGCACTGCTACAGGTGGAGCGAGTCAGTCTTCACCCGAGCAAGAGGCCAAAACCGGCCACTCCGTCAGCTCAGGAGACAAAACCAAAGGATCTTCCCCGTGGCAAGAGCAAAGAGGTTTGTGGGAGGAACACGAGGAGAAAAGTTTTCTTTACAGAAATGATCTTCTTATGATGGCCTTGTCTGGTTTTGTCAGGAGGCCTCGAGCTCCAGCAGTCCCCTCAGCACCCCCAGCAGCAGTGCCGCCCCGTCCCGCTCCCCGTCCTCCACCAGCGTCCTGTCGTCTGGCTTCCTGCCGAGCCCCAGCCAGAGCTCCCGCGCCATCCACAGCATGCTCGGTCAGTCACCCTGACTTTGTACGCATTTACATTTACTTAAATTAAACTAAATAATAGCGTTTTTTATTCAAATAAAATATTTTATAATACAATATTATTATTGCAATAGTACTATATTTATTAATTTTCTTAATTTGTTTCCATCATCACTCCATATCTTATATATATATATATCTACAGTGGTGTGAAAAAGTGTTGGCCCCCTTCCTGATTTCTTATTTTTTTGCATGTTTGTCACACTTTAATGTTTCAGATCATCAAACAAATTTAAATATTAGTCAAAGATAGCACGTATATACTGTGTATATATAATATTATATATATCAAATTTAAATTATTAATTGTGTTTTTTTTTCTTCTTTGTGCTCATTTCATCAAAAACTGTGGATTCTTGAATATTTAAAACTAGGGTTTTTTTTTTTTTCATTTTTAATTTTGTCGGCGATGACTGTCTAATGCCTATAATATGGTTATGGTTCCTTGGACTGAATAAATCATCCTTTATGCTGTTTCTGAGCAAATACATAAATATTTATGTACACTGCCATGTAAAAGTTGTGGTTCTATAAGATTTATTGCATGTTTTTGTCACATGAGCCTTCAGAAATCATTCTAATACGCTGATTTCCTGCTCAAGAAACATTTCTTATTATCAATGTTGAAAACAGTTGTGCTGCTTCATATTTTGGGGGAAACCGTGATACATTTTTATTCAGGATTAATTTGATGAACCGAAAGTTTAAAAGAACAGCATTTACTGTCAATTTTGATCAATTTAATGCGTCATTGCTGAAAGTATTAATTTCTTTCAAAAAACAAAATCTTACTGACCCCAAAATTTTATTTGAAGTGTATATATACCTGTACCAAATATCATCAAAAGGCTGAACCTTATCAAAGTATAATGTTTTTAGCTGTGTATATCGCCCGGCTCTTGTAATGAATGGCTTTATGTGATTCTCAGGCCCGAGCTCGAAGTTTCGTCACATCCAGGGGGCCGTTTTGCACCGGGACACTCACATCACCAACCTGCGAGGACTTCATCTGACCACACCGGGAGAGTGTGACGGCTTCTGTGCCAACGGCCAGCGCGTGGCAGTGCCTCTCGCCATCGCCGGAGGGCAGATCGCTGTGTTTGAGGTGCAATACTGCATTCATTTCTCTTTTCTTCTAAGTCTTTGAGTCATTGACAGTATCTAACTGCTGTGTCTGTCTGCTTTCGCAGCTGTCCCAGCCTGGAAAACTCCCAGACACCGCCCTGCCCACCATCCAGAACTCCGTCAATGTGGCCGACTTCTGCTGGGACCCCTTTGACACACACAAGCTGGTTGTGGGTGAGTTTTCATTGGCCATTTCAAAATGACCATATAAAAGTAATTGCTCTGATTCTGGATTCTGATTGGTCAATACAGAGTTACAGCTGCAATGCTATATAGTAACAGCTATTCACAGTGTCTGGTTACATGTAATCTGGATTACATAATCTGATTCCAAAAATTCAATACTTGTAATTAGATTATATTACATTTTAAAATACTCTACAGACTACAGTTACTTTTTTATTGATTACATGATTAGATATTATTCACACAATAGCAATACATTATTCATAATTTATTGATTCTCCCGAATTCTTCTTTTTTTTATTAAACTCACAAACCCCCTGGAGTTCTTTCACAAACCCCAGTTTGGGAAACCATAATGTAATATAATGTTTAATGCACTTCATTTTGTTAATAATAACGAAGGGAATATATTTTCTTTCTCTTTGTATTTTTATATCAATATGGTACAAGATTATCCTGTTTAATCAATGTGATAAATGTGTAAAGTCAAAAGTAATCTAAAAGTAGTCTGATTATATTACCTAAAATGAGTAATGTAATGGATTACGTTACTGCCTACAATTTTTATCATGTAATTTGGAATCAGTAACGGAATACAATTTGCTTGTAATCTACCCAGCTCTGGCTATTCATCTACATGTACCTCCATGATTTTCAACTGTGGATCCATGTGTTTAAATCTCATGTGTAGTATCTCATGTATAGTAGTTTGTAACAAATGAAGTGTTTGAAGATCCAGACGGGAAACTGCTGGCCACTGTGTGTAAGGACGGAAAAGTGCGTCTGTACGACCCACGCAAGTCCACCTTGCCCATCCAGGTTAGTTCAGCATCAGGTTAATATTATTAAACTTCAAAAAATCGTATCATTTTGACCAAGTTTTACCATCTTTGTCCATGCAGGAGGGCCCAGGACCTGAGGGCTATAGAGGGGCCCGTGTAGTGTGGGTCTGTGATGGCAAGTACCTGCTGGTTTCAGGATTTGACAGGTACAATATACCACAAATTTAGCCAAAATGATTATAGTATTGGTACTAGCAGTGCCTCTCTGACTCTAAATATGTTCTAATGGCTTATTTCCTCTATAGTCGCAGTGAAAGGCAGCTGTACCTGTTCTCCGCTGAGTCCTTGGCATCCGGGTCTGTGGCTTCTGTGCCTGCCGATGTGTCTCCCTCGACCCTTATCCCGTTCTATGATCCCGACACCAGCGTCCTGATCCTCACTGGGAAGGTGCGTTGTTGAGCATTAAAATTGGCCATTGGTTTAAACGTTATAGTAATGAACAGATTCATCCAACAATGTATTTATTTGTCCTTTGGTCTTTCAGGGTGACACACGTGTTTATACATACGAGATCGTGCCTGAAGCACCGTACTTCATGGAATGTAGTAGTTTTCATTCCTCTGAACCACACAAGGTATTATTGTTGGTGCTGTTGTGATGTTGTTGATGATACAGAAAGCAGACTGTTTTACTGATGTTTCACCGTGTCCTCACAGGGGTTGTGTTTCCTGCCGAAGACTGAATGTGACGTGCGTGATGTGGAAGTGGCTCGAGCCGTCCGACTTGGCAAGACCACCATTGAACCTGTGGCCTTCAGAGTGCCTCGTGTCAAAGTAAGAGTGACCCTCATAACAGAATCTGAAAAATAAAAATTATTATTATTTTTTTATTATATTTTTAAATTATATTATATTTCTTCATACCTTTAGCTTGGTCATTTTTGAGTACTTTTTCAGCTTTACATTCCAGTGTTTCTCATGCTGAATGAACAAAAGTAAACATTTGAATCTGTCTTCGCTCCACAGAAAGAGTTTTTCCAGGATGATGTTTTCCCAGAGACTGCAGTGTGGTGGGAAGCATCTCTGACCGCTGCTGCCTGGCTCTCTGGATCCAACGGACAGCACCGCAAAATCAGCTTGCGGCCCAAAGACATGACGCCCGGTACAGCTCAACATCACCAAACACAACTCAAGGAATAACCGTTGGCTCTATAAATATAGTGTTTAAAGGGGTCATATGATGCTATTTTAAAGATCATTATTTTGTGTATTTGGTGTAACAGAATATGTTGACATGCTTTAATGTTCAAAAAACACATTATTTTTCAAATACTGTACATTGTTGTAGGTCCTCTATGCCCCGCCTCTATCAAACACGTCGTTTTCTACAAAGCCCCCTCCTTTGACAAGCGCAGTCTGCTCTAATTGGCCAGCTGACCTAGTGCATTGTGATTGGCCGAACACCACAAGCACGCGTCGGAAATGTAACGCCCCTTACCATAATCGCGAGCTAAAGGAAAACTTGAAATCGCATCATATGACCCCTTTAAATACCCTTCCTTATGATCCGTTTTCTTTCAGTGAGTGAAGCACCAAAAGAGGCTCCTGTGAGGAAGTACCTGCCCTCCTCTGTCTATCTGGAGGAGAAAACTGATGAACAGAAGAAAGAGGAGGTGTCTATCTATCTATCTATCTATCTATATGTCTGTCTGTCTGTCTGTCCT